TGAATGAGCTGTTGAGGGATGATTGTGTTGAATGCTGAACTGAAGTCTATGAACAGCATTCTGACGTATGAGTCTTTTTTGTCCAGGTGTGTGAGTGGAAACTGGATGGGGTCCAGGGAGGGGGGGACGGCAGACTTGATGTGGTGCATGACTAGCCGTTCAAAGCACTTCATGAGGATGGGGCTAAGTGCAACTGGAACGGTAGTCATTGAAGCAGGATGGAGACGACTTCTTCGGGACTGGAATGATGGTGGTAGCTTTGAAGCATGTGACCAAATACTTATTTTACCGAGGAATTTACCAATTAATTCTTTAAAAATCCTACAATGTGATTTTCTGGATTTTTTTTTCTCATTTTGTCTCTCATAGTTGAGGTATACCTATGATGAAAATTACAGGCCTCTCTCATCTTTTTAAGTGGGAGAACTTGCACAACTGGTGGCTGACTAAATACTTTTTTGCCCCACTGTATATATATATATACTGTATATATATAAGTGATTTATTATTATTATTAGGGCTTCATGTTAATGTTAATTTAATGTTTATACTAAAAAAAGTGCATACAGCTGCTAATTGTTTGTTGTTTGTTGATTTTCAAATATAAAACTTATTGAAATGTTTTCAGTGTGTGTATTAGTTATTTTTGAACATTTTAGTCAAATTTTAACAAAACCATGATAATATTGATAACCGTGATTACTTTGGTCACTATAATCGTGATATGAAATGTTCATACCGTTACATCCCTATATGATATAGGCTACAGCGCGCCACCACATTTGTGCGTGCAATTGAAGAGCATGTGCTATGAGCACAGTATAATAACCGACAGGACAGGAAACTTTTTACTGACATGGCCTGACAACATCTCATCTGACCGCAGTTCACTGTTATTCTACTGAAGCTCCCTCATCACCTGTACCTTTTCCACGTTTGTTTGACTCACGCCTGGTGCTGAGGTGAAGTTGGAGTGAGTGGCTGAAAAGTCTCATGTATGATGTGGTTGTAAAATAGCTCTGCGTCTAAATAAATGCAATTCTTGTCAAGAAAAAAGAAACAGAAGCAGCAGTTGTGAGTCGTGTGGCCAACCCTAGCTCCGCCCCTGCATTAATCGCGTTAAATATTTTGTGTGCCCGTTAATTTTGACGGCAACATTATTATTATTATTTTTTTTAGTTTTATTTTTTGCTGTGATAAAAAGGGCAAAACATCTCATTCCATTTTTGTCTTTAGCCAGTAATTAGGTGCTATATTAGTTATTTGCCACTTGTATTGGACTTTCTTTCTTTGTCATTCTTTCAATAAATTTGATATTTTATTTAATATTTTATGTCTCCCCACCAACAAGTATGCTCTATATAATGGTGAATTTTACATGGGCAATCACCAGTAATTTTCTTAAGGATATGTGTAATTATTTTATGTGCATTGTTTACCTTCAGTGGTGGGGAATCCACTCTGATTTCTGCTTTTATTAGAGGCCATTTCTCGTCTGCTCCCACATGAAAAAGCCCAGTGAGTGGCAGAGCGTTGAATACCACCTCTCTTATACTGACTCATCTGTTCCTCTCTCTCTTCACACTCTTGAGGTGAGTCTGCAGTGGGTTTCTTCTACGTGCCTGTGATCTTTCCTGCTCTGCTGACACCCTTGCCTGCCCCATATTCCATTCTCACTCTCTAAGTGAGAGCTGCTTTGGTGCTGGCATGAGACAGACCTCTTTGGCAGTATTCAGTCCTGTTGGCTGTGCCAGGCGTAGTTTGGCTGTGTGCGTCTGGTTTCCAGAAGGTTGCTAGTATTATGGTCTGGTTTGGATTTCTGGTTCTCACAGGATTTAGTGTTTATTTTTGCCTGACCCACTAGTCTGCTACCTGTGTGTTTTCCATGTATGTTTATTTGTGAGTTAATTTGAGTGAATTGCACGTACACGCATATAGTTACACAACAACTCTGTAAACCTGAGGTAGTGTCCACTGTTTCTTTACCCTGTCGGATCCTCTTCTGCTCTTGCTGTGAAGCAACATGCAGAGATTTCATATTTCATTTGATGATTTCTTTGCACAAATCACGCAAGCCTGACATTTATATTGTGGTGGAAGTTTCTTGAAAAGATCACAAGGTTTGTTGGATTAATATATATACAATAATGGGTGACTTGTTCTTGTACCTTCCTGTTCTTGACTTTTAGACTGTGCAGATTTAAGCCGTGCACTTCTCAGAATATACTATTATTTCTATATACTATGATTTCTAGTCACAAATTGGGTATAGACTTATTCCAATCTTCCCAAATGTGATCTGTTATGATCTTTGTGGTTATACACATACATATAAACAGCGGTTTTATTTGGTGACTGGACACTTTGTAGAAGCACAGTGAAATAATTTGTTTTCTAATCTCTTTATTTCTTAATCGTTTTCCAGAATCATCTGTTTTTTTTTTCTTTACAGTGACTTTGTTTTACTTCTCAGGGAAAGGGATGAAAGCTAGCATACATGTTCATATTTTTCAGAAACTGCTTATCTTTCTAAACTACAATAAATGAATAAACGGTAGTGGCTTTTCTTTGTTTATCATATACAGTGGTGTGAAAAAGTGTTGACCCCCTTCCTGATTTCTTATTTTTTTTGCATGGTTGTCACACTTTAATGTTTCAGATCATCAAACAAATTTAAATATTAGTCAAAGATAACACAAGTAAACACAACATGCAGTTTTGAAATGAAGGTTTTTATTATTAAGGGAAAACAAAGTCCAAAATTACATGGCCCTGTGTGAAGAAGTGTTTGCCCCCCTGTTAAAACCGTGGTTTATCACACTGGAGTTCAATTTCTCCTGACAAAGTGAAGTAGACCAAAAGATCCTCAAAAGCTAGACATCATGCCGAGATCCAAAGAAATTCAGAAACAAATGAGAAAGAAATTAATCTGGAAAAGGTTATAAAGCCATTTCTAAAGCTTTGGGACTCCAGCGAACCACAGTGAGAGCCATTATTCACAAATGGCAAAAACATGGAACAGTGGAGAACCTTCCCAGGAGTGGCCGGTCGACCAAAATTACCCCAAGAGCACAGCGACGACTCATCCAAGAGGTCACAAAAGACCCCACAACAACATCCAAAGAACTGCAGGCCTCACTTGCCTCAGTTAAGGTCAGTGTTCATGACTCCACCATAAGAAAGAGACTGGGCAAAAATGGTCTGCATGGCAGAGTTCCAAGACGAAAACCGCTGCTGAGCAAAAAGAACATAAAGGCTCATCTCAGTTTTGCCAGAAAACATCTTGATGATCCCCAAGACTTTTGGGAAAATACTCTGTGGACTGACGAGACAAAAGTTAAACTTTTTGGAAGGTGTGTGTCCCATTACGTCTGGCGTAAAAGTAACACTGCATTTCAGAAAAAGAACATCATACCAACAGTAAAATATGGTGGTGGTGGTAGTGTGATGGTCTGGGGCTGTTTTGCTGTCTCGGGACCTGGAAGACTTGCTGTGATAAATGGAACCATGAATTCTGCTGTTTACCAAAAAATCCTGAAGGAGAATGTCCGGCCATCTGTTTGTGACCTCAAGCTGAAGCGAACTTGGGTTCTGCAGCAGGACAATGATCCAAAACACACCAGCAAGTCCACCTCTGAATGGCTGAAGAAAAACAAAATGAAGACTTTGGAGTGGCCTAGTCAAAGTCCTGTCCTGAATCCTATTGAGATGCTGTGGCATGACCTTAAAAAGGCGGTTCATGCTCGAAAACCCTCCAATGTGGCTGAATTACAACAATTCTGCATAGATGAGTGGACCAAAATTCCTCCACAGCGCTGTAACAGACTCATTGCAAGTTATCACAAACGCTTGATTGCAGTTGTTGCTGCTAAGGGTGGCCCAACCAGTTATTAGGTTTAGGGGGCAAACACTTTTTCACACAGGGCCATGTAGTTTTGGATTTTGTTTTCCCTTAATAATAAAAACCTTAATTTAAAAACTGCATGTTGTGTTCACTTGTGTTATCTTTTACTAATATTTAAATTTGTTTGATGATCTGAAACATTAAAGTGTGACAAACATGCAAAAAAAAAAAGAAATCAGGAAGGGGGCCAACACTTTTTCACACCACTGTTCTTGTTTAATGAGTGAGGTTATCATCTATGAAAGGCTGATTATAATCTCTGTTATCAAGGTTAATTTAACCTTTAACTTGACCTCTAGTTCAGGGGTTTAAAGGTATCCATAGCCTTGTTTTGGAGTGAAAGTAGACTCAAATACTGCAAACCTGATCACAAAGCAGATTTAGAAAAGTGTACCCTAGTAAAAACCAACTAAGATGATTGTGGCAAAACAGCACAACATATTGTGTAGCTTTTTAATTATTATTTTCTTCCTTTTTAAATCATACTAATAATGCTTGATTCTTGAGAAACCTTTGGCAGGTTGCTTGGCATTAGGGGCTGGTGACCAGGAGGGTTTTGGTATAAAAATTATGACAAACAAGAAAATGAAATGAAACTGTTGTGGGGCTTTAAATGGCTGGTTAGAAACTATGCTAGTAGTAGTAGTTGACAGGTTGTATTTCCTGTGTGAGATCACTATGCAACATCCGCTGACTCTGTGAGATCATTGAGTTCATATCTTCTTTCCAGCTTGAAGTTCTTCATAAAAAAAAAAACTTTTTAAATATTTACCATTTTTGATAGGTTTTTAGTTCATGTACAAGAACCCTGTGAGAACAACTGAGTGAAATCTGCTTATGACAGTAATATCCTTTTTTGTTGTTTCTTTGTAGGATGAAAGAAAAATATTGAGGATGTGAGCAGTCCCTTCACCTTTAAGAGTTATCTTCAAAATGGAGCTTGTTCTTTGTCCTAAGTTTCAGTCTGAGGTAAATCACCCTACACAGTGGTGCTGTCATGAACCTACACTATTTCTGTCCCCTTGGAGAAAACATTGATATCTCATCATAGAATGTGATCTTCTGTTCGGCATTCAATTACAAGAAACCTCAGGTCACTCAGCAGAAAGTCAAGAAACAAAGAGTGAAAGTAGTAGGTAGAACAGATGAACGGGGACTTGCTGGAGCCTAGTTCTTCAAAAATACCCAGCGTTTCCTGTGCTGTCCTTCACACATCTAAAACCTCAGCACTTCTGAGAATTACCGCCACACTCTTTTTATAAGGAATTAACCCCTCTGACACCTCAAGAAAGACCAGGGGTTTCCTTTTTGAGCTCTAACGCAGTGCTATTTATAAAGCTGAAAGCATCATACATAGAATTTCATTATCGACTAGTTAGTAGGTTGTCTGAACAACTAGTCAACTAGTTGGTCTTTTATAAAAAGCCCTATATAATTAGACTTAGGGTCATATCCACCAAACGCCGATCAGACACATTTCTTAGGGTGTGTTCACACAGGATGCATGTTGTTGAAAAACAGAATGTAACAATTCAGGGGTCTTGCTTTTTTATTTTGTTATTTTAGTTACTTTTTAACTGTGCATTTTATAACGACAGGTCAATTTAAAATTAATGCACATGGCGTGAGATGCAGAAAACCCATGTAAGATGCAATGCAACAGATAAAGACATACAACTATAGAAACATATAGCCTTTTAAAAAATGTGTAGTTTGGAACTGTAATGCCGTTTTTAGTCTATTTTTAGTGTATTTATTTATTTTCTGAATATTTGCTTTTATTTAGTTAGGGGGAAAAAGTTACTTATAGACCTCAGTAATTGATTAATTGACCCTTAACATGGAGTTTGATTGACAGGCAATCTGACCAATCATAACTCAGAATTTGCTGTTTTGTCCGACATACAAACCAGAGAGGAGAGTAGATTAGCGTCTTGTCTGTCGGCGCGTTGTCAGTGTCGTATTTGCTCCGCAATGTATTTTTTCATTGCGTGAGAACATGATGTGTGGCATTAGAGCGCCATGGTTTGTCGGACTTAGCAACAGTAAAGAAGGGGGGTGAGTCTTTGTGTGGGGTCATTTGACCCATCTGACCCGTGCCTAGTGTGTTTGTGTGTAGTGTCTATCAGACAGAACAGAGAGGTGGATGGCCTGTGCTTATTTGGGAGACAAAAACAGGAAGTGCTTCACACCCAGATGTGAACAGTAATGAGCGGCAGAGATAGGTGAGACAGAAGAGTTTTGTACAGATCGATGTTGGAGTTATCTCGCCAACAGAAAGCACTTCTCTTTTCTGTGCTGACAGGTCTGTTGTAATCTCAGTCAGACTGAGCTGCTGGGTAACAGCCATGGCTCTTTCCTGAGAAGCCAATCTCAGTGCTCCTCCTGCACAGACAAACCCAGATACCAGCAAATACTCCCTTTATCGCTCAGTTCAAGCAGGAATCTGTTGGGAAATAACGGCTGATGTTAAGAAATAACTGAAAGTCCCTGTTTTGTCGAGGCTTAGATTGGTGTTGTTTTTGAGAGTTGGGTATATAGATGGTGTCTTTGTTGAACAGGACTGATCCTCATGCTTCATCGTACTGAAATATTAAAGGGATGGGACACTGTCAGTATTTTAAAGGTATAAATTATTTAAGTGTCCTTGAACATTGCTTTGTGTACCTAGTGAGATTATTTTGGCATCGGGATCTTTTACGTTTTTTACTTCTATACCCATATAATCACTGTAGTAAATGGTCATTTGACCTGACGGGGTCATTATCAGTCATTCTGATTTCCTGCCAGTTTTGTTACAGTGCATCTGCTCCATAAATGACAGGGAAGGCCAAATTGAGCTAAGTGGACTTGTCCTCTGTGCAAGCCATGGACAAAAGACAAGGTCACATTCCTTTTTAAGATTAAACACAGCATTAGCAGTGCAGGGCTATTGGGGTCCAGCATACAGTATTAAAAATCAGGGTTGGAACAAACTGGACACTGAATGGAAACTTTCAGAGTCAACCTTAATTTCAGAAACTGTGTATATCGTACTAAGTAAATTAAGTAGTTTATTAAAAAAAAATCAAAATTAACAGAAAAGGGAGAAATGCTCATCTATCATGATCCACAGCCTTTTTTGACAAAGAAAAGTTTTGTTTATCTCCATTTTACTCTGTTGCTTTTTATTCGACTCAGTATTATATTTTCCAATATGCAAGCTGCTTTTATTTTTTACATAGGGATTAAGGGCCCATTCACATCAAGAACAATAATTTACACTAAGAATGATAACTGTAACTGTTAAATTGTATTAGTCGTTCTAATCCTATGCAGATAGGCTTGGAGATTAGTCCACACCACAACTATAATGATACCATATACGATTAAACATATTGAACCATACAAACATTGACAGCCAGTCAGAATCCACTCAACTTTAAACAGCTCAAGTATGAAAGCCGCAGATTATATAAACTCAGTGCATGTTTTTAATAAACAGAATGTTGTTGTGCATTGGTGCAGACACTAGTTATCATTAGTTAACTTCATAGTTATCATTCTTGGTGTGAATGGGCCTTTATACTGCCAAGTTCCAAAAAGTCCTAAATAGCACCACTGAAGAATCATAAAAGTAATCCATACAACATTATATTTCAAATTTTCTATAGACATAAACATATTGAACCATACAAACATTGACAGCCAGTCAGAATCCACTCAACTTTAAACAGCTCAAGTATGAAAGCCGCAGATTATATAAACTCAGTACATGTTTTTAATAAACAGAATGTTGTTGTGCATTGGTGCAGACACTAGTTATCATTAGTTAACTTCATAGTTATCATTCTTGGTGTGAATGGGCCTTTATACTGCCAAGTTCCAAAAAATCCTAAATAGCACCACTGAAGAATCATAAAAGTAATCCATACAACATTATATTTCAAATTTTCTATAGACCCACAGTAGCTTTGTATGCAAAAAAAGGCCCAAAATTTAAGTCGTGTCACTGATAAATTTAACCCTAACTCTCCACCATAGCTGTCCAATCAAATTCAGTTTGTTTAGTGAAAACAATGCCACCTTAAGATGGCATTTTAAAAAAACCTGACCGATATTGAGATTTAAAACCTATATTAGAGTGAAAAACACTACTTAAATTTTAGTTTGTTTCCAACAAAAAACTGACTTATGGCTTCAGAACACTTAATATATTACATAGAATACATGATACAAGTCGTAGAAATAGTCTTTTTTTCTTAACATGGAAATATAAATCACCTTCCCCTTGTATGGAAAAAAGCAGCTTTGACATGGCCAAACATAAACTAAATCAAAATTTTCACAGAATAAAGAAACTACAGGGGTTAGAACAACATGAGGGTGAGTAAATGTCTGCACTGTTTTCACATTTGTGGAAACTTTCCCATTAATTTGCTAAATGTGACCACTTTCACAACAACTGTGACTGTAATGTGCCGTCTTTGAGGTTTTCTCACATGGAGCCTACCTGTTCTCTTTCTCCATAGTTGACACATGCTTGCTTAAGAAGACTAAACATGGAGTCCTCCTTTAGTGGAAACCACCTCTTCTCTCACAGTGTCCATTGAAAACAACTGGGAGAGGAAGTCAATATTTTGATAGGAGGATGTGTTTGGGTGCCGGGGGTTTGGATGTGGTCAGACCTTTGTTGTTGTTTACTTGCTGTGGGAAATCACTCTCGCGAGTCGCGACGGACACGGCTCTCTGACTGTTGTGGTTTCTGCTGCTTAGGTCCAACAGTATCTCTCCATTTGTGAGATAGAGAGGGTTATGTAATCCGTGATAAATGAAATTGCCATTTAGTTGGAATGCTGAGAAGGCCTAGTACTTTCCTTGACAATTGCAATGACCTTGCTTGTCTGAAAGAATGTTAAAAAAAAAGGACGTAAGCTACAAAATAGTTAAGATAATGAAGTGCATGTCAGCACATACAGACTTCGGAAAAACTAAAAGGCAGGGGGAAAAAATTAGTAAAAGAAAGAGAAGCACGTGGTGGGAGAGAAAGGGAGTAGAAAGAAAAAAAATGTTGGATCGCACCTCCCTCACTAACTCGTTCCTGTCACGGTTCTCCCCCCATTGTGGATTGTTGTTATGGGAACAACCAAAAATCCAGTTATGGAAGCGGTAACAATGCTGTGTGTGGTTGTGAATTGTGAATTTTAATGATGTAAGACAATCTATTGCACACCATGAACATTTAAGGGATTTTCATGCAGCCTGATATATTTTCCAGCTCAAAATCTTTAGTTGATTTGGCCTTAGTTCAATAATAAAGATAAATTACTGTGGTGTCTGAGTTGTAGTGATCCATAACTACATAGGCTACATTTTTAAGCTGCTGAATCCATGTCAATCCCCCTCTCTGACATAATTCGACTGAGAGCACGAGCCTGAAGCAGAGAAGTTGACGTCTTCTGTAGGGAAATCTCTTGCTTACTGTGGAACTTGAGCAACAGCGTCTGCGCTACAGCTGTGCCGTAATGTACTACAAAATATTCTGTGGTCCTGGAGCATTTCAGGTCAGCGCTGTGATTAGCACACAAACATGGAGTAATGTCTCAAGGCCGAAATGAAAATAAACAGATGATCAGGATCAGTTACTGCAAGAGAACATCTCTTGACTGTCTTTTTCAATACAGACTGTGCTAACCAGACGCTGTGGTCGATTGGACTTTCTGTATATTCTGTCAAATGACAGAGTGAAGTTCTAGGAAAAATCATTTTAGGAAAAACCATAAATATGGAGCACACTCTTCACTCTGGGAGAATGTTTATTCTCTCCTCTTTAGTTGTTTCTGTTTCCACTTCACTTTCTGCTACTTCTCGCTGTCTGCCTTAAATGCGATAGTACAGCCTGTACAGGTTTTCTTCTTTAGCCAGACATTTAAACTGTTCAGAGACTTTGTTGCGTTTGTCCTGACGTACAAAGCTGTTTGTTCACAAAG